AACTATCCATGCTGAGGATCTGGCACGACAACAGCGGCCGGGGACCCAACGCCTCCTGGTACCTGAGTTACATCGTGTTCAGGGACGTCCAGACGGGAGAGAAATACGCCTTTATTGCCAATCAGTGGTTTGCGGTGGAGTGTGAGGACGGACAGGTAAGTTGGTGGGCGTGGAGGTGCCTTTTTTTCTTTTTTTTTCTTTTTTATCATCGTATGCAAAGACTTTCCGAAAAGTAAATTCAGTTTGTTCTGATTTTCGAGACCTTGAAATCTGCTTTAACGCTACATATCTGAAAGATAATATATTATTTCTTGATTGAATTACCTTTTTTGCATGTTCATGTGTTTCCTTTACACGTTGGAGGTGTGGGTAGGTGTGTTTCTAGGGTGTAGGACGCGCGTTGTGGTGGTGCGGTGTTTATTTGTGTATGAGAGGATGTCGGGTAGATTCTGTGGTGGCCAGAGATATATAGATGATGTGTTTTTATGGTGTAGGTTGTGCTTTGTGGTGGTGCAGTGTTTATCTACGGGAGAAATGCAGGTAGATTCTGTGGTGGCGAGGGATGCGTAGATGTTTTTTTAGGGTGTAGAATGTGTTTCGTGGTGGTTAAGTGTTTGTTTGTCTATGAGAAGAGTCCTTGGCCAGAGATGTGTAGATAATGTATTTTTATGATGTAGAATGTGTTATGTGGTGATTACGGAATTGTTTGTATATGATAGTATTTCGTGTTGATCATACGGTGACTAGAGATGTATAGACGGTTTTGTTATTATGAGGAAAGTGGTTTGTAGTGGTCAGGTATTTGTTTGTCAGTGAGAGGATTTCAGGTAAATTATATAACGGCTAGAGAACTGTTTACACGGGACAGAATTTCATATACACTATATAAATAGCCAGAAATTATATACACCATAAAACTATATACTACATAAACCATATGGCCATAAACTAGATAAGCTATATGGTGACCAGGGATTGTTTACATATGATACTATGTACTCTCATATAAACTATGAGGTGGTCAGGCAACTGTTTACATCTAACAGAACTTCATATAAACTATATGATAGATAGGCAGTGGTTTATTTATTTATTTATTTATCTTTATAGAATTTCAGGTTTGCTGTGGCATGTGATGGCCATGTTTATAGTGCTGTATTTTGTTTGGTGAATTAATAGAATATAACTATACAACTGAGATATAAATTTACATGTCTGAACCGTAATCATGTTGTTAAATGTAGAAAGGTATGAATGAGAATGAATATCAGCACAATACAAAAGATGTGTTTGACTGGTTTCGAATATAGGGGTTGGTGATAGGGGGTGGTAGGGGTGTTGAGAGGGGGGTGGTAAGGGGTTGGTGTTAGGGGGTTGTGGTAAGGGAAGTGGTAGGGTTTGGTAAGGAGGAAGGGGGGTGTTGGTAGGGGTTGGTGGTAGGGGGTGTTAGAAGGTATATTCGAAACCGGTCAAATACATCTATTGCATTTGAAAGATATTCATTCTCATTCATACATTTTTCTACATATATATTGCTTGTGATAAATATTTTTCTTACGGCTTCTACCTTTTTTTACAAATGTTGGGACATTTTTTTTCTATTTTGTTAATGAGTTTAATTGTAGTGTGATGATTGTGATTATGCTAACGAGTTTATGGTGCTGCTGTGCTGCTGCTGTGATAAAGATTAATGATAATGATGATGGTGATAAAGCTGAGGATGATAAGAAAGATAATGAAAATGACGATGATGATAAAGATGATGATAATGATAATGATGATGATAAAGATGATGATTAATGATAATGATAATGATGATTATGACGATAATGATTATAATGATAATAATGATTACAATGATAATGATGATTATAATGATAATAATGATTACAATTATAATAATGATTATAATGATAATGATTCATATAATGATGATAATGATAACGATGATGACGATTAACAATAACAATACAAATAAATCGACCCCCCCTCTCCCTTTTCCCCCCACACAGATCGACCGGACCTTAACCGTGGCAGGGAAGGGCGAGCGGAGGCTCTTCCTGCACCTGTACCACAACACGTCCAGCCGAGGCATCGTCGACGGCCACCTGTGGTTCTCGGTGTTCCTCAGGCCGCCCAGGTCGCGCTTCACGAGGTGGGTGGGGGGGTAGGGGGAGGGGAGGGGGATGGGGTATGTATATATATATGTATATTTATATATATAAATAAATATATACATATATAATATATTATATATATATTATATATATAATATTATAATATATATATATATATATAATATATATATATATATATATAATATATTATATATATATTATATATATATATATATATATAATATATACATATATATATATATATATATATATATGTATATATATATATATATATAAATATATACATAATATATATATATATATATATATATATATATATATATATATATATATGTGTGTGTGTGTGTGTGTGTGTGTGTGTG